AGTAGGTCTGTCATATGCAGGGTTGAGATCAGTTTGAACAGTACGTCTGTCATATGCAGGGTTGACATCAGTTTGAACAGTAGGTCTGTCATATGCAGGGTTGGCATCAGTTTGAACAGTAGGTCTGTCATATGCAGGATCGACATCAGTTTGAACAGTAGGTCTGTCATATGCAGGGTTGAGATCAGTTTGAACAGTAGGTCTGTCATATGCAGGGTTGACATCAGTTTGAACAGTAGGTCTGTCATATGCAGGGTTGGCATCAGTTTGAACAGTAGGTCTGTCATATGCAGGGTTGAGATCAGTTTGAACAGTAGGTCTGTCATATGCAGGGTTGACATCAGTTTGAACAATAGGTTTGTCATATGCTGGATTGACATCAGTTTGAACAGTAGGTCTGTCATATGCAGGGTTGACATCAGTTTGAACAGTAGGTCTGTCATATGCAGGGTTGGCATCATTACTTGAATTGCTAATGGCTCAAGGGCACAACATGGCTGCCATCTTATCGCAATGTCTTGATAAATGACAGCCTCTTTGTATAAAGACACACACAAAACTGACAGTGAATAATAATGAGAATCAGTCAAAGATACATATTTGAATCCAGCACTTTTTAAATACATGTACATAATACATGTATAATACACTGTATACCATGAGATTGATCCGACAAAATTTTTTGCAAATTTTTTGATTTTTGCTCTGTTGCAAAAATTAAAATTGCAAAAATTAAAATCTTAAAATTCTGCAGCTCCATTGCCACATGCTGCAGTTTGCAAGTTATTCGCAAAAATTTATTTCGTGAAATCTAGAATTGCAGGATTTGTGAAAATTTTTTGTCCCATAAATTTCATGGTATATGGACGATACTGGGATGCTATTGTACATGTACTGTAGCTGGAAAGTTTTGTGGCCAAAAACTTTTGTGGTTTGGAATGACCACCATGAAATTAAAAACCACGAAATATTTGCAGGTTAATGAGAGGCATGGGTGCTTTACTGATGATCCACGAAAATAAAAACCATAAATAGACTGGGAGCCAGCAAACCACGAAAGTTTTTTGCCACGAAACTTACTGGCTATACGGTAATAATTTTATCTTGTAATAGGTTGTAATGTCAGGTACATCGATGGTGGTCACGTGACTTCGTTCCTGCTCCAACGTAGCACTGTAGTGAGAACACTTATTGAACAAATGGACAGATTATTATTATTAGGAAGCAACTCTCTTGCTTGAAATTATTAGACCACTGCCACTGCTGTATATTAGCAACGCTATAATTATATTTCACCATTATTATTATTATTATTATTTTCAATAATGAATAATAATTGTATCATCTATTTGTAGATTAACGTGCCATTTGAAATTATAATGAGTTAATTAATTGTGATCTTTATGTCACTTCACACTATGTACTATATGAGTCTCTTACATTAGCATAATCTTTGACTTGTACTATTTAGGCTGTGCATAAATTTCATCAGGAAAGAATTTGGTACATTTTAATTCACAAAAATAAAAATCTCTGACAAAAAAATTATTTTCTAAAATTTTAATCACTGCTACTGTCATGTCTGCTCCTCTGCTGCCTAGTTCTTTTAGATTCATAATTGCCATGACGATGGTGTTTTTTTTCTTCCTAATAAAGTAAGTGTCATCGTCATCATCTGATATGAGTTGCTGCTGGTGGGTGTGGCCTCTTTTGTTTGCATGCAGTAGTCCCTTGATTTTGATTCCTTCTTTGATTTTTTGTCTGATTTCTTTTTCTTCTTTCTACTCTGTCTATGCCTGTAGATTGAATAATACTATAATAATAATGATAATGATGAATAAAAATTAATAATCTCAGCATTTATAAGGATATTGGAAAGTGATGTATGTGAGTGTATAAAATTGTTTGTCTGAAGGCCAGGGGCGTAGCTGAGGTAGGGCCTGAGGGGGCATGGGCCCTACCATCAAAGTGGCCTTATAATTATATTCATAACCCAAAAGATTATATTCATTGTTCTTACAATAACAAAAGGGGATGGCTGATAACCACAGCTCTTTTAAAGCTATATACAATGATAATTTCACTCTGATTTTGCTCAGCTTGCAGGAAAATGCCTCCATTTTGTTACGTAAAAAGGGTGTGGCCAAAATCGCGGCGCGCTTCGCGCGCCATTTTGTTTCCTTGCCCTACCGTCACCCAAGGTCCAGCTACGCCCCTGCTGAAGGCCACAATTTATGAATGCGTGGACCTCTTTTGGAACAGATTTTAAAGAGGAATTGGACAGAAATAATGCGTAATGGATCAGCAAATAATGGAGTTTATTAATAAATTAATATTGTATATTAATAATATATTATTTGTCATAAAACTATACTGAAGATCTTCAACTGGTGATATACCTATTAACTTGTTCTTGCCTTGTTAAGCACTTTAAGGTGTGTAAAAGGTGTCAAAAGATTAAAACAAGCACAAAGTATATATATAGCTGGGGAAAGTTTGTTATTATTTATTTGAATGGTTTATTATCATGATACTATGCTACACCTTCTTAATTAATGATGAAAAATGATGAAAGTATAGCATTAGCTTATTGTATCTTATATACCTATTATTGCTGTACGAAATGCATAGTAAAGTGTTGCTTCAAAAGACTCCCTAATATTGATTGCTAAATCAATATGATGCTAATAATATCAGTATATATCCCATGACATTCATACACTGTACACTAACTGATCTATACCGCTAAATTTTCACTACTGATGATAAAAAAATCAGTTTTATCACTTTTGATGATCAGACTTGATGTCAGGCCGAAACAAATTTAAGTTGCTTTTGACAGAACATGTAGTCTATTAACAGCAATATTTTCAAGCATAATAGTCATGCACAGATTAAATTAGCTACCACACAGTTTTATAGAGTACAGTATTATTGACTTCAGCACTAGTCTTATTATGCAGGGTTAACATCA